TTAATCACGGTTTTAAGTTTGCTTTTCCGGTATTATAGTAAATTTAACCTGTAGATCTTTTTTACCAGGAAGTATTGCTGTGCAACATTCTCTCAAACTCACGTTTAAGTAATGAGAAGTTATTTTTGCAATAGTTTAGTATGGTAAAAGCAGCAAGTTTGAGGTTGTGAAAGCATCTGTTTGGTAACAAACACAGCCGTGTGCTCTCCATTTAATGATAAGACTTTTTGGGGCTGTATTATGTGTCATTATGTATGTGGTAAGGCACGCAGCCCTAATGCTCAAGTTTTGTTTTACTTTCCTGGCAAACTAGTCTTGTTAATGGTCATAAGCACGTTATTGCACCTGGTGGTGGTGGTGTGTTGGCAAAAAGACCACCAAGTGGAGGCCACGCAAGAGACTTGAGAATGGGGAGGCTGTTAGGGGAGTTAATGATCCCCATTCAGTTGCCTGTGCAGTGATCCCAAACCCTAGATGTGTCAGCCCGCCCATCCATGGCCACCTGTTGCACCTGGCCCTGACATTGAGATGGGTGGCCGTCAGATAACCTGTACTGCTCTTGAGACTTTTCAAAATTGTACTGACTGATGGATATTATTGGAATTAAACCCAATAATGTAACGCATACAGTGCAATATATCTATATATATAATAGCTATATATATGAATTTTCATTCATTCAATTCATTGCTTCGCCCCCAAAATGAATGAACGCACAATGCGAAAGGGGATGTCTCTTTATCATCAAAATAAAGCTTCACCAAAAAGCGAAGATGAACGAACGACAAGGAAGAACAAAGAATGAACATACCGTAAACTAGTATATACAAGCAAGAGTTTGTTGTTAGTTGCCAGTAGCAAAAGAGGTCTGAATGCCTTGAAAGAATAGGTGGTAACAAGGCTATTTTTCCACTCGTGACTTAAAGAGAGTTACTTTATGCATGGTTAAGTTCTTGGGAAGAGAGTAACAATACCTTATCTGGATTGTATCTCTCCACTATACGTTAGCCTGTCCTCAACTGCCAGTCCAGTGCTGCTCTGCAGAATCCGTAGCACTGCTGCAAACACTTTATAAGAAAGTCTCAGTTATTGGAAGATCCACAATTAGATTGGTAAAGTTTCTTTTCATAATGTTGCCGTGCTGTTATGGAGGTTGAAAGTGTGGCATCAGGAGATACAGTTCAGGGAGTGGAGAGTACGTTATACAGATAGATGAACGTTCACTGTCTGCCTGTTACTCCCTTAACTAACAAGAGCTGTTAATTGCTTGTATGCATCTTCAGAGAGTTTCTGGTGTGCACCGGGGACTGATACTGAGGACGGTTTTGCCAAAGCTCTGTCTTGGCAGATACACGCAACTTTATCAGTGACATTCAGTGAATTGTCTCTGAGACTGATAAAATATATAGCCTAACGTTTTAATTTTATATCTCTGCAGCCAGCAACCTTATGCAGAGTTATAATCAAGGAAGCTCGCACCTCTGCTCTCACGTATGGTTTGTCGGATCTGCGCTAGCGCTGGTTAAAATGTGTGTGTGATCATAAGGAATGATTACTCCAAAATGTACTAACAATTTAGAGGAACTTTGTTCAAATTATATACATACACCTCTTTTCTGGCTAATTAGGCCCCGTGCCATTAGGTTGCCGACCCCTGATATTTGTTTTCAGTGGTTTCACTTTTGAAACTAAATGTCATGTGACCTACACCGACAGCCACGTCGAAGATTTATTTGATAAACTATTAAAGGAGTAGTTGGCCAAAAACTTTGAATTGTCATAATTTACTCCTTTTATGTTGTTCCAAACGTTTGTCTGTGAGTGACATTTGTCTTTTTTTTTTCTTTGGTGGTTCACTAAAGATATTTTGAAAAATGTACTTTATCTATATTTTTTTTTCTTTCCATACAATGAAAGTCAAGAGGGCCAATGTTGTTTTGGAGAAAAACAGTCAAAACGCTCTTTAAAATATACAGAGTGAGCAAATGATAGAATTTTTATTGTTGGGTGAACTATCACTGTAACCTTGGACTTGACTGAAAATGTTACTCCTAATGACTCATCTTATACTATCACTTTGTTCTTTGCCAAACTGTACTGTGCACTTACCACACCTGTTTTGCTAGTTGGTTAAGACAGAAGATTGAGGTCTGATATCTTCAGGGAGCTGTTAAAGGAGATTTTGTGGTGAAAAGAATACGCACAACATTAATTCCCTTCTTTGCCATCTGAGCCACTGAATGGCACTTCAAAAGCGAAGTGGGGTTGTGTTAATCCCCCGTAGCCGGCCTCAGGTTTGAAGTGTGATCAAAGTCGAGGCTGCACTGATAGATGTGCCCAAATGGTCCTCTAACTATCAAGGGACCAGAAAGTTTTGTGGGTGTAACGGTGGTTCTGAGGGTCGTGCAGAAGGCCAGAGTAGCCCATCACTTGAAGGCAATCCTGGATTTTCCTGGCAGATACAAACACCCAGGTAGCTATAAATAGACTAAGACATGAAGAGTTACCAATTTTTTTCAGGCGATGACCCTTTTTGTTTCGGTGAATCCATTTCCCCTCTGGACTTCCTGCCCAAACAGACTGTCTCCTTCAATAAGGAGTTTCACAGACACTTTAGACTCTGAGTACCTGGAGGGGATAATCAATAGCTTTTAAATTGCTTCAACAATCAACCCAAAAAAGCCTAATGAATTCAGCATGTTAAGCAACACCACCGCCATTCTTTCCCCAAGAGAACAATCTAAGGACAGTGTTTTATTTGAATTTTTTTCACCTTAAGCACAAGCATGTCTCATCCTGTTTTTCAAGCTCTCATTCTGTTTTTCCTCTTGCTGCTGACACTGGGCTCCTGGTTTCCTCTCTACAGCTAGGAGGTGTGTGAGCTGACCTTCCATGACCCCATTCTCTCCACCATTTCTCTTGAGAGAAACGGCAATCTGCAGCTTGAGTGAATCTCACGATGAATGGATGGGCTGCCTCTCTCGCCCTTGAGTTAATTTTGTTGTGTCACTCCGCTCTGAAAGGGTAAAGGGGGGAGATTTTTTTTTTTTATACGGTAGCTGAAAAGTGCTCCCTGTTCCCTTAGGGACTGAGTGGCTCGCTGTGTCCTTGTTAAAGAAAGCAACCGCAGTCGCTAAGCTCCTTGAGATGGACCGGTGACGGAGCACTGGCCATTTACATTTCTCAAGCTCCCCCTCCCTCTTTCTTAGTGACATTGGGCATTCTGAAGAGAGAGCAGTGCATGCTGGGTCAGGTTGTGCTGGGTCAGCCTAGCCCTAGCTGTGGCTGTGGGCTCATGCTGTCGCTTAGTTCCTTTCAGTAGGCTGGAGTTTGCAGTCCCACTTACTGCCGCTTCATAAACCTTCAATAGCTGCAACACAATGAAAGAAGACAGGGGTCAAGGTTAAATCTCAGTTCCTTCTTGTTCCTAGAAGCTTTATCGAGAACCTGGAGAATGTTTTGGTGTGTTTTTAGTGCAAGTCTAAGGACTACTTTACCATAAAGATTACCAGACTTTACCAGGACTTTATATCCAATAAGTCTGTTGGTTACCAACCATGTTTCTGTAATCTTGTAGTACTCCACTGTTAATTGAGCATGACAGTGACTTATTGCTTCCCGTATTGGTTTTACCTGATGTTTTCATAGCCTGTTCGGATGTCTAATTTGCTTTGAATCGTCATTAAGCTGTCACTTTCACCCAGAGCAACTTGCAGTACACCTACAGGGAAAATCATCTAGAGCAACATGGGGTGGATTGTTTTGATGTCATGATGGTAATAGCTCATGGATTGCCCCTCGAAGGAATTAAGTCTACAGTGGTACTGCTCAGATCTTTCATGATTGGGCTACACCTCCAGATGTGATGATGTAATATGTCAGATTGCTTCATATTGACAAAGCCAGTACTCAACATTCAGCACATCATGAAGTACGTTTATTTGGACTTTAAAAGTTTGACTTTGACTAAAATTGAGATGGGTGGGTGGTGAATGATAAATTGCTTTCAGTTCAACTAAAAAGGTTGTCACAATTTTGAACACCTTCATAAATTTAGGTCCGTTAATACTTTAGTTCACTTGAGTTACTTTAGTATACACGTTAATGTGTTACAATTGGCCTCTGAGGTGTGTGCTTGCTATAAAAGACGTTCATGCGTAAGATGCATTTAATACTTCTAAATATTTGATTATGCTTTGTTATGCATGCTTGGACAGACAGATGAGGACTGTAGCTCACATGTCCAAACTGCTGTAGCATGTGGAAATGTACTTAAACATACATACTGTGACATGCCCATACTCTACATGTTGATTAATCAATCAGAATTAACCTTAGGCTAAATGTCATTAACTTATTTCTTTGCATTCCTTCCTATATGAGGATTGAAGCACGTTTAGACAGGATTGGGAATGTTTATCCAAGTCCAGAGGTGTTAGAAAATGCGTTGTAGTGGTATGATCTTAGTGTATATAAAAGATCAAATTAAGTTGATTACACATTCACTCAACATTTCAGTGCACACTGGGTGTTTTTAAAATGTGGCTCTTGCAACAAAAAGGAAGTTCGTCAGATTGGAAGGTTGTGGTTGAGTGACGTTGCTTTACAGGCAGTTCCTTAAAACAACAATTAGTCTTACTCTGGTTTCAGTCATAATGCCTAATGACATTCTAAGGAGGTGGTCAAACAGGATATGTTATTGCATCCCTTACTTTTATCTTTAGTACCCCTAAAGAGTTTTGTAACATGAGGTTACACTGTTTTGGTGAATGTCAAACTACTAAATGAAATTCATAAATCTATGTTACTACTGTGGGCTCCCCACGTTATGTGGTGTTAGTTAGCCAAAACATTTTCTCATCAGCGAAAGAGTGGTATAAAAATGTCAAGCTAGGCTTTTTAGGCCAATATCGTTTAATAAGTTTATAAAAGCAGCTGCTAGTTAAACTCAGTCCTGCTGTACTGGCTAACCTCCCCTCCCTGCTGTTCTTTTTTAATAGGAACTTGAGCAAGCACTACTGAAACAAGACCAAGACTTCCTCTCAGACCTCCTTTGCTCCCTGCTGAAAGGATGTTATCAACGCAGCGACATCACGTAAGTGCATCGCCATCAGTATTTCCTGTGACGGATCTTTTCTTCCATATTATGACGTACATCTGAGTAAACAGATTAAAGACGACAAATCTAGGATAGTTAAAATAAAATGTAAGCTCAATCAACAATTAGGTATATGTGTTATGGAATAATTTTGATTACCATAAAAATGTATTTCCACTTGCCACTAGTTTTCTTAAAAGAAAAAAAGGTTACAGTTGTTCCTTTCACTTATAGTGAAAGAAAATCTGTAACTGTTAATAATACTCAGTTCCAGTATTAGAGCCAGATGTAAACAATATGAGTGTTAACATAATTTTAGTATTATAAAATTGAATGTCCAATTTTACAATTTGTGCAATATTCATTATACTTTGTTCATGACAAAATAAAGTCACAATTTTTGGCAATTATTCAGCAAATGTTGTAGATGAGGCTTAGCTTGTATTGAACCGTAAATACTCATAATACTGTACTGTTTGGGGTGTTTTTGCAACCCTACTCTGTGCTCTTGAAGAATCTTATGCATGGTATGGTATTGCCCAACCCACATCCTGTGTTTGACTCAGACTCCATCTCCAATCTGCATGCAACCACTTGACTGTAGTAGTAGCGCTGTAGTCATGGAGCTAGGTTACCTGCAGCAGCAGTAGTAGGTCAAGGGGCCATGGGCCCCATCCCAGTAAAGAGTGTGAGTTATTGTGAGAGTCAGTGCTGTGATGAATGACTAGCCCCTAAAGGGAGATCCCTTCCATAGCGGTGCCTCATCAGCAGCAAAAAGGAGTCCGGTCGATGAGTGGGTAGGCAAGAATGATCCCTTTCGCATACTCAAGCAGGCCGTTAGCAGGACGCAGGGTTTTATTGGATTCGACAGCAACTGGCATCCAGGGGGAGGCCGCGGGGCACTGGCCTTTCACAGAAGTGCCCTTTTCATTCTACATGTGCTAAACGCTCCAGCAGAATGGGGGAGGGAGTGTTACGGATGAGAGAGAGAGGCAGAGAAAGATGGAATGGCAGGGGGCCTGCAGCTGTGAGAGAGATCATTCTGCTTTCTCAAGATAAGCCTATTCTTTCTGTCCTGTTTTGCTCTCTACCTTCTCTCTTGTTGTCCAAAGGCTCACCCTTGCCCTACGCATTAGTACCAGGAACTGGGTGTTGGGTTGATTGAATTGACCCCACCCGGAACTAACTTTTTTCATCACAAAAAAGGCAGTTGTAGAACTTGAATCAAATGAATAATATATCAAGTGAATTATCCTAACTTAAAATCAAGGTGGAAGACCTTCACTGCCGCAAACAAGATGGTCTAATGGTCTAAGATGGCCTTTGGTCTGATAAAACATTGGTACCTACCTAGTCAACCGTTCTCTGAGATTTGTTTTCATGATAATCCAACGTTAAGAGTTTTATCTCTAAAAACGGTTTAGCGTATAATGCTAGTAATGGGGACATTTAATGAGTAAAAAGAAATCGCTAGTTTATACCACTAACAAGGCTCAAAATAGACTCACACTATCACAGTAACATAATGAGGGTCCCTACATGCAAACCGAAGCATTGAGAACTTTGTAAGTGTACATACCGATATTTTATAAAGACAGTCCACTTCTTACAGGCAGGAGCCATCTTGGAAAACAGTCTCGACAAGTCGAACCACGAACACCGCTCACACCAAGGGGGTAATCCATCAGCTGGAAGTTGAAGCCTTGCGGGGGCCGCCATTATAGCAGAACTTCACCTGCTGTCAGCATCCAATTGACTCTCATTCATTTTGGCGTCACTTTGACAGCGAATAACTTTATATCTGAGGCATCCAAAGACTTAATTTGTCCATTATTTATTTCTAAAGAAACACGAAAATGTATAAAATGCTCCATTACTTTGCATCTTACGTTACGGCCCCATAGAGTCGTTTTTCTAAAAATAGGCTAAAGCTTGCGTCATAACCACGCGACTTTCTGTCGCACAATAGAGACATTACCGTATAGACAGGAGGAGAAGCTCACAGGCAATCTTTTACCACCTATGAGGCAATCGAGGGGACATGGAGGCACAAAGTCAAGGTAGACGCCCATGAATAGAGAGTCCTAGAGACACGAAATATTTCAACAACGTTTTTGAGGAATTAGGTGATTCAGATTTGGGTTGGCACAGCTACTAGAAGATTTGCAACTGTCAGACTGTCGTCAAGCTCAGTTTGAGCCTGCGCAGTCGCCCAGACATCAGACAGGAAGTGCAATAGTCAGGCTTCAGTCTTCTCCGTTGAAATCAATGGGGTCGCTCTGCCCATTTCTTTTATTATCTATGGTTCATACAGTTCAGAAGTTCGCTGAACTTCATACAGTTTAGCTCACTTAGTGTGTCTATTTTGAGCCTTGTTAGTGGTATAAACTAGCAATTTCTTTGTACTTATTAAATTCCCCCATTACCTGCGTTATTCACTAAACAGTTTTTAGAGATAAAACTCGATTATCATGAAAACAAATCTCAGAGAATGGACGACTAGGTACCAATGTGTTATTAGACCAAAGGTTCATTTTGCGCCGGAGTTCTCCTTTAACGGTACTTGACACCTTAGTGGACAAGTGTAAGATTTTGTGCATTAATTTTTTCTGTTGTCACAGGTCAGTTTAATAGTTTCTATATGCATATGCACATTTTGGGATAAAAAAAAAGCTGGATGGAAAGATGTAAATTTTCATAACTTAAATAATTCAGATGGAAGTGATGTATGTAAAATACGATAAACCCTTTTCGGAATATGTACCTAAACGTGCATTAAAGTCATGTGACTTTGCCTCAAGTCAAGTGAGCATTGGAACCGCTGCTTTATTTGCAAATTGTTTAGTGATATTCTGATATTTTCTTTTTAGGATTCAGTCCTTTAGCAGTTATCTGGAAGACATCATCAATTACCGTTGGGAACTGGAAGAAGGGAAGCCCAATCCACTGAAGGAGCGCCGATTTGAGGAGCTACCACCCCGTACACAGGTGGAGCTTTTGCACAGACTCTGTGACTATCGTCTTGATGCTGCTGATGTCTTCGACAGGCTCAAGGTAGCAACCTTGTATTCATGTGTCATGGCACACTTTTTTTTTTCTCCATTTAAAAAACAAAAAACAGATTTGTTTGTTTAATCCTCACCATAACAGAAGAGTCTAATAGAGATCATGGGTTTTGCAGGGCCTGGATGCCGACAGTTTGCGTGTTGAGCCTCTGGGCCAGGATGGGAACGGGGCCCTCTATTGGTACTTTTACGGTACACGGCTCTACAAAGAGGAGCCAGTCGAAGGGATGTCTCCACAATACAGGTATGGAGAGCATTTCTACATACATGTGAACATACCCGGCCTTACATGCTAGGGGTGTAACAATACATCGATATGGATCGATTCATCGATCAAACGTCTAACGATATGATCCATCTATACGTAAAATATCGATATACTGGCTGCCAGTGTGTCTTTATAACGTTCATTTTCTCTGCTGAAATAGACGCTTGACAAGATTGACTGAACCCTAAACACGATTTGTCACAAAAGCCAGTATTGTCCACTGTTAAGGCATCGCAAGTTCATGTTACAGCAGAAACCGACAACCGATTCCCTCTCTCTCCCACCTTGCTTCCCGTCCACTCTATACTTTCCTATCATATTAAAGGCAAACAATAAATCTTTTAAAAAAATGCTACAAGTTGTACTATTTTCACAGTGACATTTATGACAATGTGTCTGTGAAGAAGAGAAGAGGGAGGCCACCAAAGAAGTCTGAGGATATTGATGAATCTATGTAAGGACCTCTTTAAACATTCGTTAAATGCACTGTATGACAGACATGATGCTATTCTTACTAGTCAAAGTTTGCTGCTTTTAAGTTGAATTATTTAGAAAGATAAGGCTCTAATCTGGTTTGTTTCAGGGAGGAGGAGGACGAGGAGGATTCTGTGAAGAAAGAGGATGAAAGTGTCGGGGAGTCTAAACCTGAAATAGGTGAGAAACAAGTTTTGCTGCTTTTAGTTGGTTTTATGTGTAAAGATGTTTAGTCATTGCAGAACCATTTGTCCTTTATTTTTACTCTGCAATGTAAGTGGATTACAGTGCCCATGGCGGCTGTAATACATGTCTGCTGCAATGTTCATGAAATGCTCTTTCAGCAAAAGCATGAAATGTGGAGCTTTCATGACATAAGTTGAAATGAAATGCTTGCAACCATGCCAGCATGCCTTCCCTTTTTTTTTTTTAAGTGATCAAAGCTCAAATTGTGGTTGGTAGCTAGATTAGAAGCCTTTGACAAAATTATATTGCTGCTAAGTTTTATGAAAAAAAAAATCCTATCTAGTGCAAGTTTTTAACCGGTCTCCAAACATGAATTGTCTTTTTGATTTTGATTATTTTTCTCATCTGTTAAGTTTGTGTAATGTGTTGTCAGAGCGTCAGCGGGGTGTCTGGTCTCTGATGTGTGACTCCGAGGAACAGTGGGCCAATCTGGCTGAAAGTATTAAGGACCGAATTTCTTCTCAGGACCGCCACCTGCACCGCATCATTACTCAAAACTTCCTGCCTGAGATCAGTAACATGATTGAACACAAGGTGAGACTTGCACCGCATGTAATGTGATGAGTTATGTTATTAATCTGGGATATAGGTTATTATCTCAGTAGAAGAAAAAAACAATGGTGACATATTTTAGTTTGGCAATATTAGTAGGAAGTTTGAGAACAATGAGAATTCCCTCCTACAATGCAGAAAACATTCTTTCAAATTGAATTATTCTTAAATAATCATTTTTAAATTTCTGATTCAAAAATCGGAATTTTCTTTATCTTTGTAATGATTTTCGATACAAGTTAGGTGAGTTTACACTGGTCTTAATTTGCAATAGGTAAGATTTTTTTATATAAGTTATTTTGCATTAATATTAATAACCAGTTTTGAAGCATTGAATTTTTTTGTACTTGACAAGGCAACCTCAAGAGTTGGCAAGTATACAATCAGATAAGATCAAGATTGCACACGTATTTAGAAGATTTTTTTTTATTTTTTTATTTTTTTTATCTTAAGATATATATTATTAGTTTTAATAGTATTAATCCATTCCCTGGTACTTTTGCTGATGATTTTTAATACCAGTGCATGAGTGCAATTCATGACTATTCGTACTGGCAGGAGATTTTGATTTTCAGAAAGTCTTGCTGCGTCCATTGTCCGTAGGGACAATCATAACTGCTTCAGTTTTTTCAGAGGCACTAAAGTTAGTTTAAAAATATCATTAAAGTTATTTCATTTTCATATAACTTAGATATCTGATCGTTCTCTTACCAGTGAGAACTGCCCAAATCAGATGCATGTCGGTATGCTCAATTTGCAGTGGTGTTGACATGTCATTTCCGTGGCTAATTAAGACCTATTAGAGTGTCTCGTTGCCATAGCTACCCCACTTCCAGCAATCACCATTACATACCCTCACTGTAAAATGTATATCTTTCTATAGTGCTGCCAACGTTATTCAACCTCACATTTTTCACACCTGTACATCAATCTGCAAAGAACCAGATATTTTCTTTTGCAACCTTGATGCAACTGGTTTTAACTTGGACTACTGCCTCTTCAAATCAAACCCCGACACCCACTCTCTCTCACACATGCACACAGCCCTGTCAGAGCCAATCCATCTAGCCGTCGCCATGTGGCAGGCTCTCACCTTGAGGTGAGCTGGAGCATGGTGATTGACGGCCTGCAGCTCTGCAGTTTTTTGACCTCTTAAGTGGTGATACCACAGACACTCCATCTAGCATGGGACTAAGTGTTGTAGGGTAATGGACAAAGCAGAAGAACCTGAATATACGAGACACAGAGGGAAAGGGGGTGGTTTTGATGAGCCTTGTGACCATGGGCTGTTTGGTTTTGCAATGACACTCTTTAGCCTCCTGCTTTGGTTAAACAAAGGGTATTTTTGGGAGTGACCTACCTGACACCCACATATGTGTGCAAACACATCTGACAAGGTTATTCTTCCCCAGGAGAAAGAGATGATGCAGAAACTACTGAATCCATCTGAGGAACACAACAGCTACACTGAACCACATGGCAGTAAAGAGAATTGGGTATGTTTTTTTTTTTAAACGCGTCAGTAATTTCTTGTTTGTGTGTATTCTGTAAGCTGTAGTTTAATTTATGCATGCGCGTGTGAAGCAGACACGAGCCACAATTGAGGTGGAGAAACAGAGGGAGGAGGACCTGGAAAGGCAAGTCCTGCTCGCTGAACAACGTAAAGAAGAAGAGAGACTGCTTCAGGAAGAACGGGACAGAGAAGAACAGGAACGAGTCAAAGCTGTCGAGGGTGAGTCACACTTCAGGTAACCGGCGACCAAAGTTTCCCCTGATCAAACACACACGTATGGGAGAGTACATTCTTTGGTCTTGTCTCAACATGGCAGATTTGAAATCAGCGTGCTTTTACCCTAAGGCTGCTTTAATCATACAAAGAGCTGAGCTAGGGGAAACGATCAACCTCACTCCTCGTGAGAATCATCCAGCTCTGATATCCTCTGTCAGCGGGTTAATTAACTCTTGATTGTGCTGCTGCGGATGGGCCTATGCACATTAATGTATTATGGATGAAGATCGAGCCTGCAGTTCTCTCCAGTGGTTTCTTCCTCAAGCTCTTTTAATCCTCCCAGCAGGGTGTGTCTATCAGGGCCTTTAATGTCAGCACATAAAACACTTTTCCCCTTTATCTTGTCTGTGCCCTTTGATCAAATGTGCCTTCTAAAGCTGCCAGATTATTTGCTGTTATTACGACTTTTTCGGTTTTCGTTTGCCAACTTTTCATTACATTGGCACAGGCACAAGTGGGCAGGTAAAAAGTGCACTATTAATGGTAATAAGTGTGAAACTTGGCTTTCTCATACTGTCATTCACATGTTTTTGTGGTGTTCAGAGCGTGCACGTAGGAGGAAGCAGCGAGAGGAGAAGGCCTGGTTGCTCTCCCAAGGGAAAGAACTTCCCCCTGAGCTGCTAAATTTGGAGACCCACTCACCTATTCGTCGAGCACGCCGTACCAAAGAGTTGTAAGGACTGTTTTAACTCTCAAACTCAGTATTAGGCTTTCCATCTTGCTAATTGTCTCCAAACACATTTGATGTTAATTTTACTCTCTAATTCATATGTAAAAGAATTTTATGGGAATGTTTTATGGTGATTGTTGCTATTTCTGTATTGTAGTTATGACATGGATGACGATTACACAGCTCTCTACAAAGGTACGTTTGGACAATGGTGCTTCTATTGTGGTCAAACCACTGTGTTCATTTCCTCATTCAATACTTGCAGCAGTTCCACTGAAATAATGTAAAACTGGTTTCTCTTCAGTGTTGGAGGCCCTCAAAGCTCAAAAAGATGCCTGGCCCTTCATGGAGCCCGTTGATGAGTCATATGCCCCCAACTATCATGAAATCATACAGGTGGGTATACAAGCTCTTATAAATAGATTTATCTGATCTCAAAGAATAAATCAATAAGTTGTTAAAAATGTTTCGTCAGACTCCAATGGACCTGTCCACCATTGAGAGAAAGCTGAATGATGGGGAATACGTTGCTAAGGATGAGTTTGTGGCTGATGTAAAGCTTATGTTTGAGAACTGTCTGGAATACAACGGAGAAGAGAGTGGTAAATATGATCAAGATGAAATGTTTTGTTTCCAAGATTTGTGGCATCTAAGCAGAAGTGAAACTGTTTAACAATAATCCACTTAACAAAATGTAGGAATGTGTATCAGTGTTAAAAAATCAATAAGCAAAGCAAGTCATGATAGTTGTGGAAGCATGTCGAGAGGCTCTGACATTGATTAATAGAGAGTGATTGAGCTGTCCTCCAGTGCGCCAGGTCCTGCAGTGCCACAGAGACATTCCAGCCCCACAGCTCCCCTCCCTGGAGCCATCCATCCATCAGAATGCATTCCCCTGGGGGTAGTGGGGTCAGAGGTCAACTGTGGTTCTGTGACCTAGTTGGTGTGCTTGCTCTGCTTGGGGAGATGAGATCATATGTGTGTGTGCTAATGCTTACCTGTCTGTATCTCCTCAGAATACACAATAATGGCTGAGTCCTTAGAACGCTGCTTTAACCGAGCCCTACTGAAGCATTTCCCTTCTGAGGATGGCGACACAGACGAGGAGTTTCACGTGAACAGTGAGGACCGTGACCGCAAGGATAAGAAAAAGAGCAAAAGTCACAAACAGTCAGGTCCTGAGAGCTTGATCAGAGCAACTGAGCAAGTTCAAAAACGCAAAACGTCCTATAGTGGCAAGGGAAACAATCAGCAACAAGATAAACTCAAATCCGCTTTACAACCCCCTCCCCAACACTACCGCAATGGTTCCCCATATCCTCATAACATCTACCCAGGACAGCAACAGGCTGGCATGTTACATCCTGCTCAACAGGTTAGACCACAGTCTCGGTTGCTAAATTTGTTTATTGTTTGCAGCTGAAACAACAGTTTTTATTATTATCCTAAAGTTCTCCCTGTGCGCTTGTTGCTGTCAGTACTTCATAACAGGTGTTCTTTTTGCATATAGTTTCAGCAACCTGCAGGTCCTTCAGGACCAGGGATGTATGCTCAACGTATGATGATTGATCCCCAGTATCCATATCCTGGACAGAGACCCCTCATGTCCAGGCCACCGGGGGACCATGGAACTCAGCATATACCTCACTACAACATGCAGGTATGTTGTGTTTGATCAGCAGTATTAGTGTTGATCACTTAAAATTTGTAAAATCACCCCTTGAAGGTTCTTTATAATGTATTTATTTTTTATCAGGGTTCCCACATAAATGGTCCGCATCTTGGTCCCAGATACCCAGTTGGACCTGATGGTCGGCCAGTTCAAGCTCCACATCAACAACATTCCTATCCTGGTCCCACTCATGGTCCTTCTCTTGGCCCAAGGCCAATGGCCCTTCAGCCTGGAGGTCTCTGTGCCCCTCCATCTGAAGGCAACATGTACCCTTCCCGCCAATATCCAGAAGGGCAATCCATGCAGCCTGTGGGGAACCGATACTCCAGCCCTGGTGTCCCAATGCATAGTTCCTATCCTCCTTATGGCCCCCATGGCATAAACATGCCCAGAATGTGGCCACCCATGAACCATCAGGGGCAGCCGACACCTGGTGGACCTATGATGCAAGAACAGAGTGCAACTAGCCAGCATCCATACAATCACAACATGATCCGTCCTCCACACAGTACTGGTTATGCAATGACAAATGGTCAATATAGAATGCCCTCTGTCAACTCCCAAGGTCCTATTGGCCAAAGACCACCAGCGGCCCCTCAGGTCTCAAGGCCACATTTGGCATCCATGCTTGATAGTCCAGAGATGATTGCCCTCCAGCAGCTCTCGACCTCATCATCTCATCATGTTGGGAGCTTTCAGTCATCCCCACAAAGTGGTGGTAATACTTTAGGTTCTGCTAGACTCTCTTCACCTGAAAACCATCCACTCATGCCTTCTAGAGATTGTGTTGTAGACAACCAGCACACTCCCATATCCCCTAAAGGTAACAGTGGTGTTCCTGGCCATATTTTGCCATTACATTATTGCATTTGATGAAAATTATTTTAAGTTTAAATGGCATTTCCATGATTTTAACCACATTTACCACCATTATATATCCTGACAGGTTCAAGTCCAAAATCTGGTGATAAACAGTCAACCGAGACTGCTCTGACTAAGGCTGACAACCATTCTCTTCCCAATCCAACAGAAACATCTGAGCATCCTCCACTAGGAACAGCTTCGGCATCTGTGTCCACTCCAAGTATGGAAGGTCCCAGTCATAATGAAGATGGATATAGACTGTCAAATCCAGAGAAAATCCAAAATGGTGACCACCCAAATTCTCAAACCCAACCAGGTTCCCTAATGCAAAAATTTGTAGATGATTCTTCGATTCCCCAAAATAGTCCTCAGCCAATGACCCATGATGAAATTCCCCAGAACCCCTCTCTACAAATCCATAAACATGTTCCACCACAGTTTCTTCAGAATGGTTCTCCACGTCAGTCTCAGAATGTACCTCCACATATTCCACAGAATCTTCCACAGCAGATGCCACAAAATGCATCTAATCAGTACTTTCAGAACGGCTCACAGCAAATACCACACAATGGATCTGTTAGAGGCCCACATGCAGGACCTCTTCATGGAATGCCACAGATTCCTCCTCAGGGGGGTCAGCCAGGTGTTCATCAGCCTGCAACCCTCAGCTCTTTACCTCCTAGCCACCCTGTATCCCATCCACTTGCTCAGCCCTCTCCGGCTGATCAGGGAGACCAAAGGCCTTGTGAGCCTACCAACAGGAAAGTATCAGGAGAGAGTAAAGCTTCCCAAGACAGCAGCAATGCTAATATGATGACTGATTGTCCCAGTGGGCTTTACAAGCAACAGCCCTTCAGTCCAAAGTCACAAACCCAGCTGGGAAGGCAGGAGCCAGCACCTCAAAACCAGGCTCCTCCAGCACACTCTCAGGGTCCAGAGAGCAACACTGAGCTCCAATATGGTGTAAGCGAGCAACAGTTTGGCCCACAGATGGGTAGACCATTACATCCATCAAATCACCAGCCATACCCAAACCAGGGACCTCCATCACAGGGTAATAACCCTAATCAAAATCCTGCACACTATCCTGGATATCACCACCAAGGTGTTCCTTACCAGTATCGCATGGCCACACAGCATCCTCAGGGCCATCCCAGCATGCATCCTCAGTTCCAGCAGCATCAGCAGTTCTATCAGCACCACCGACATGGCAGACCTGGATTTTCACATGAGGAGTGGCCTAGACCTCCATACCAGTCTCAACACCCAATGATCCCCAATTCTTACCAATCACCATCCGTTGGAAGTTTTAATGGGCGACACAAGGACAGCAGCATGTCTCCACATGGCTCGGATGGATCTGGTGGGAGCTTAATGTCACCCAGTCCTATACCCGACGGGTCTCATAGCAGTGCTTTGGAGAATCGGGAGGGTAGCAGCCCTGCCAAGCAGGCAAGAACTGAAGAGCCTTCTGAACGCTCAGAGAGCCCAAAAGAGATCTTAGACTTGGACAGCCACAATGCTTCAGCCCGGCATCGTACTTCAGCTCAGCTGCACCCCAGTTTCCCATATGGGACTCGTGGCATGCATCCCAGCATGCAGCAAAGTGGTGCTCATCCACCCCATATGATGGCAAGTGGGCCATATTCTGGCCAGCATTTTCCCAGTGCACATTTTGCGCCACAGCATCCTCATCCACATTTGATGGAAGCTTTACAGAGGCCCCAGCACCTGCCTTTCTCTCCAGGTCAATCTCGAATGGTTATGTACAGGCATCCAAATGTTGCTGGGCAGTTCCAGGGAATGATGGTTTCACAAAGAGCAGTGGTTGCAGAACACTTACTTCGCACTGGGTAAGAGATCTCATTTATCTCTCAAATCTTATGACAAAATTGATCTGGATCCACTTATACATTCATCAACATTTGTCTTTATAATGACTTCACATCAAATGTCCTTAGCTTTATTAACTCTTTTTCTTGTCTGATAGGCACCAAATGTTGGGAACACCCACTCCCAATGGCCCAGGCAATAAACAAGGTGTATGAAAAAAAAAAAAAGATTTATTTGGCAACCCAAGGAAAAACACTGCTTTGTCCTGGAATATACAAGGAAATGGAGGCCACAACTAAAACTAGGAAGATTGATTGTACTTATTTGCTGAAAAAGGCAAGTTATTGTACCAATTGGAGCTGAGATCCTACCCATGTTGATAAGATGTTGGGTCAATGACCATTGACCAGTGAATCGTCAGTCCTGTTAATACTGTTTAAACTCGATTATACTGGTTGCAGCTTCTCTTCTCAACCTGGAATGTCTTTGGACTCATTCTCTACAAAGGAACAACATGTCCAAGCTCCTTTGCATGGGCTGTTTCTGTCAGTTTTTGTCCATGAGAAGAGAAAGATGCCATTAAACAGTGACAAAGTTAAACTCAGATGTAGTAAGGAACGTACTGAGACTACTTTAGTTTTTTCCAAGCTTCATGGACAAACTAGACTGTTGCCTTCATGTACTTGTTGAATGTTCTGTGAACGATTTTAGATGTAGTAATTCAACTCAATGAATAAAAGTTGGATCTTCTGCTCCACTGGGAAACACCACACCTGGAGTGTATTAATGAGGTGGTGTTCATCTCAACTAAAGCATAGTATCCACTTTATTTCTGGTGATGTACATTCTTTTAATGCCACTTCAATTTGAAGATTGTCTTTGACTGGCAGAGAACTTGGCTGCTTTATTTGTTATGCACTAGGAATAGTCTTTCATACTGGAGTGAGTGGCCTTGGACATAAATTAGATGTGTGCTTCTTAGTATGGGACTAAATTCTAACTTTTCACTTAAGTTGTCTCTATCTCGTATGTGTTGTCTTGTTCCCTATTAATGTGTCCTGCTATATTATGTATGCACAGAATGAATCAGATTTTAGAGACCTCTTAATATTTACAGTCTACTAGTAATCCATAGCTTTTGGGGTTCCTTGAAGGCTGGTTTATTGTTTGTGACCTGATATCTTTCTTCATTGGCCATCGGTCTTAAAATATTTTTCACATATTGGAATGAAAATTAAATTTGTCACAAATTACCAGCTGGAGTCACAATACTAACGATGCATTAGATGGTGAGTATATATCAGCCTTTACACTGACTCCTTTTATTGAATGGGGGAAATGCCGATGTGCTCATATTTTACATGAATGCTTCCTCTTTTAATTCAAATTACTGAATATGTCCTCAGGGTGTCGTGGTTTTAATACGGGTATTGTCGAATTAATATTTAGTGAAAAAATTACAATGAAATGTCACTGGAACTGTGATTAACTTATATTCATCTGTGATCTTCAGTACAGACGCAGGAACCAGACAAGCAGTACTTGTCTTGTGGTTAATGTGATTTGTCTCACAGTTCTTTGAATTAGTTTAATTTTTGTTTTGAATGCTTACAAGGGCTGACCGGAAAATGGAGTAGAATGGTTTTGTTTATTTTCATTGCTCTTCCTATTGTTGTCCTGCACTAAATGAATTACTTTGAATATCAGCTTGTTTTGTGTATACAGCTTGTGTCTGTATGGTCTGTCTGACTTACTGTTTTATTCAGCTCATCAACAAACCATTAAATAGTAACGGCAATTTGTGATATGGCAGCAAGAAAATCTACCTCATAATGCCAGAATGTGGCACATTATCGATTCCCTTCTTAGACCCATGAAAAGTGAAAAAAAAAATTTGTCCCTTGTTCATGTTTCTACTCAGAAGTATACTTTTTCTTGATTGACGGCTTGATCCTTAAATCAACACTATAGCCTTAATATATCCACTCACAAAACCGAATGGTTGTTATTAATTTATCAGTGCCAAGTTTGAACATGATTAAAACATCTGCATTCCACCTTTTGAATGTTGTTGTTTTTTTTTTTACAACCATCAGTGAAACGAAGGCAGCATCCTAGATTCAAATGTTTGCCCTCATTTTGTTGTTTTATGGAATCCACACTTTAAAGTGGAAAAGAGGTGCAAGGATTTGATAGTGATGTTTGTGAATACACTGAGGTCTTTTGTCCCTGAATCCTGTGATTGTCGAGCGAGTATTTTTGTAGCCACGTGAACTGTTTATATGTATTTTATGATCTAGGGATATGGAAATACTAGCAGCTGTGAGATGACATGGAACTTGTCCACCATTTTGTACCTGTCTTTGCTCATGAGTTGTATCACTTTAGCAGTCTGTCTGAAGACTGTACTACTCCACTGTTTATATGTAAAGGGATGATTTAGTAATGAATGTGTGAATTTTGCTGTGTACAGATGTTTTTTTTTTCTTTTTTTCACTTATTGATTGGGTAACAGGTCTGTATTTCTTGAAATCCACCCTTCAACGTATCTGCTGCCATCTATTCTGTCTGACTCTGTACTAGATAAGTTACTAGTTGGTTAAATGTGAATCATATTTATTTGCTCTTGTGTTTTGTAAATTTTTGTCTTTTTTAAATATAAATGTTCTTTTCATGTTTGTTTTGAAACGGTTCACTTTTACCTCATCAGCAAAGTTGGAATCCAAAACGACACCTGTAAATTTCATTATGTGAAGTTTACAAGTTCTTACCTGAATGACAAATTATTTTGGAAATGGACCGAAGTATTTTCTATACTGTACATTTCTTAGAATAAATTACGTTTCATTAGATTTTGTACTTGTTTTCAATTGTCACTTTGTGTATTTCTCTTTTGAAAAACATACATGGCACTACTAAAAGTATGTGGATTACCTCCTGTACAATGACATTTTACTTGGATAATGAAAGAATATCACGATATTTTAAATATTGGGAAAACCAACTTGATGTAGCCTACTAATTACATGTAACCACTTGTTAACTGTGACATGGTCGTCTATAAATATAACCTGCTGTGTTTGGAATATTATTTTGCTAGTGTATACTTGCTCGTGGAAAGTCTCAAATTTCAGTTGAGGGTTCAAACGTCCGAGAAACCTCACTGGACATGATAATCACCCGTATCTTTATAAAATTGTCATTTGTAAACTTTGGAAAACAAGACCGAAATGCAGCTAGATTTAGAACGCGTGTATAAATCTTTGTCCTCTCGGGTCTTTTGTCCACGCACACTGCCACACACAGCAGAACCAATGATCTTTAAGGAAAGACCTGACGTCAATTTCTGTTGTGGAAGTCAGTGTAACGAGTTCGTCGAGCTCGGTTAAAACAATAACTTACATCTCTATTTCCGGTGTCTTTGTATATATTCATTGTAAACAATCGCCAGGTAAGATATTTTCTAATTCGCTGCGTTTCGGAATGTATTTATTTTTCTATTCGTTTATTTGGGATTAATTCAGGTAACGTTAACGTCGTTCACTGTTAACTTACTGGTGCAGTTTTAAAGTATTTTGGGTGAACACCTCTTTATTTAATAAACCAATCGCTAAATCATTGAAATTCGAACGATGTTTATAAACGATATCAGAATCGAAGTATGAAGAAAACGTGTCAACAGCAAGCCAACTTAACCATGACTGATAATAGGTAGAGTGCAGCTCGACATGCTGTTGTGTGTCATGTGGATTGTTTACAAGTAACGTAATTGAGTTAAACAGATGGTCACGCTGTTTTAGGATGCACAGATTTAATTTATTTCATTGTGATAGTTTATACTTTGCTTATACCTTTACTGTTTTATACTATACTAACTATACTTGTAAGTAAACAGTTTCAAACAGCTGACAGCTGATTTTCCACCGTCATTAGGGAACAGCTGTGGTTGATGGGTGAAACTGTTCTCAAAGTAAGTTTACGGTTGAGAGACAGTTGAAAAAAGAAAGAAGTGCAAGCTGTGGTCAAAACCCCTTTATTTATTTAAATGATAGATTTTACTCCCATAATATATTAACCATGGGTGAGACAAATGCACCAGTTTCTACTCTCTTTATTTGTTTATTATATTTAAATAAATGATTGTAATATAATCATAGTTGACATGGCTACAGTAATCTGTCAGTCCAAGAACATATCATTCATTGAAGCATAACCAAAAATCATGTAATGCACTTTTAAATAATTAACAATTCACTTCATTACTTTTCAGCATTAGCACAGAGATCAGTGGTTGAATTACATCACAGCCATGCACACACTGACAGCAAGACCCCTGATGCGGATATGGATGCTGTTTCTGTGGTGTGCATCATGTAACTGTGGACCAGATCCCAGGAAGCGGGAGGCTCTGATAAGACTGGAGGCATCTAGACGGACAGGAGGCAACATAACACTGAACGAGAGAAAGAAACTGCTTGACTCGAAGCTTCAGAAACTGAAGCAGCTTGATTTCGAAGCAAGACCTTTCCCACCGTCTATGCATTTCTTCAAGGCGAAGCGCTTCATCGATCAAAGCCCTGTTTTTAGTTTGATTCAAAAGATGCCTAAAGGTGCAGTAATCTGATGATGCAGAGCTATTGTGTAGTTAGTTTGTGATTTGACTTGTTTGGGTCAGTAATGATTCATCTTTTTTCCAGGTGCGGTCCTGCATGTTCATGACTTTGCTATGGTAGATGTGGATTGGCTAGTGAAGAACGTGACCTACAGAGAGAACTGCTACGTGTGCTTCACAGATGAGCAGACCGTGCAGTTTATCTTCTCTTCTCGACAGCCTGCATCTCGTCCACGCTGCTCCTCGTGGACCCTGCTCAGATCCCTCAGGGAGAAGATTAAAAACAGCACCGAGTTGGACGACAGGTAGAGCCTGAGAAAACTGCAGTAAATCTGAGACTGTAGCTGAGGGATGATTGTCTCAAGCTGAGGATTGTTTGTTTCCACAGTTTTATTCGTAATCTCACACTTTTCACTGAGGACCCAGACAGAGACTATCCTAGCCAACACAGTGTGTGGAAGAGATTTGAAAAGGCGTTCTTGGTGGCCTACGGTCTGGTCACCTATGCACCCGTTTTTAAAGACTACCTTTATGAAGGTCTCAGACAGTTTTATGAGGACAACATCATGTTTGTGGAAATCAGGGCGCTGCTGCCAGTGGTATGGATACATTTCCCCTTAAAAAATACAAAATTCATTTAGAATTATCTGCCTTTCCCACAATTTGAGTTTACATCTCGCAATTCGGTTTTGTGGTTTCCGCCACAGAATAATAATAATAATAATAATAAAAAAAGGTCATGTCAACATTTTAGTGACTTTTTTTTTCTCAAATTATTAAGACTAAATGCAGTTTTGAGCTGAAATTAACTTGCACTTATATCCTGAAATATATCAGTTCCAATGAGTTTAACTCAAAATGAACACCAGTAATGTTTTTCCTAAAAATTACGTTTAGAAAAGCTTTTGAATGTCCTAATTGAACTAAGGCCTAATCCTTGCTTAATCTAAGCCCTGTCTGTGAAACCGTGGTTTATTCCATGGTGGAAATAAGCTTCCGTCTAAAATAGAATGTGCAATAAATGAAAATTAATACGTGCTCATTTTTATTTGAAAATGTCTAGACATACGAACTTGATGGCAGACTGCATGATAAGGACTGGAGTATGCGGGCCTGCCAGGAAGTTGTGAGCAGATTTACGGCACACTACCCAGACTTCTTAGGGGCTCGGGTCATTTTTACCATCCACAGGTGAGATAAACATTGAACTCGATCAAATATGAGTTTGATTCAAGAAGATCTGAATGAATAGAAATCATTTCCTGTTGCTCTTAGGGGAATAAATGCAACAGAGGCAGTGAAGACAGTGGAGGAAGCAATGACACTACAAAGGAACTTTCCAAAGATCATGGCAGGCTTTGACTTTGTGAGTATTTGATGGTTCGTTGATGAGCATATTTCTGAAATATCCAATACGTGAATAAACTTTATAATTTTTATAACTCCAGGTAGGACAAGAAGACCTTGGAAGACCTCTGTGGTACTTCAAGGACGCTTTGAGTCTACCTAAAGACAGGGGTGTTAATCTGCCCTACTTTTTCCACGCAGGAGAGACAGGTTTCCTTTTGACACCTTTGTTCTTTCATCTGATACAAAGCAGTGTAACTCAAAGTCGTCCTTTAGGCTCAAAATGATTGAGCGCTTGTTCTTTTTTCACAGTTGCTATGGTAACATATTTCATTCGCTTTTCCCACAGATTCACAGGGAACAGATGTCGATCAGAACCTCATGGATGCTCTTCTATTCAACACCACACGTATAGGTCATGGCTTTGCCTTGGCACGTCACCCTGTAGTTAAAGAGATGTCCAGAAAGATGGGCGTACCGATTGAAATCTGTCCCATCTCAAATCAGGTATATCATCACTCATTATGCCTTTGAAGTCCAAACTGTACTTCCTCAACTCATGCTCCTGGTCTTATTGTTTTTGAGCATGTTGTTATTCCAAATAACACATGTGAATTATTTAGGTAGCTATATTCCTATTTATTTTAATTCAAATCGAATTACGAACGTATACGAACATATTGTACAAACAAAAACTTTTATGTGAAATGCTATTAATCACGATTAATTGATTTGACAGCACCATTTGAAATAGAAAACTTTTATTACATTAAAATGTCTTTACCGTCACTTTGATGCGTCCTGCTGAGTACCGGTAAATGTATTAACTTCTTTCAAAAACAAAAACTTTTTTTTTTTAAATCTTCCCAATAAGTAGCTAACACATATTATACATTATACATATTTTCAGCTCTCCACTATGCTCCTCTTTCAGTCTTTGCTATATTTTTGTTTCATTGCAACTAATACTACAAATGCTGTGCCCCTTTTCCAGGTGTTGAAACTGGTCTCAGACTTGCGGGACCACCCGGCGACAGTGCTGATGGCTGAAGGTCATCCTCTGGTGATCAGCTCGGATGATCCAGCTCTCTTTCGGGCCACCCCCCTATCACACGATTTCTATGAAGCCTTCATGGGCTTTGGAGGAATGAGCTTTAATTTAGGCACATTGAAAGAGCTGGTCATAAACTCCCTCAGGTAACAGAACTACAAGTGTCTTATTTTTAAGATTTTTAGAATGAGTTTGTGAGATAATTTGGGCATTTTTATGACCTACAATATACTTTTCTAATTTATTTGTAACTTATTTACTTCTCGCTCTTCATTTCTAGGTACAGCTCATTGCCAAGTCAAAGAAAGAAAGAGGCTATTGAGGTTTTGCTGGTAAAATGGGACAAGTTTGTTTTGGAAAGTTTACTTTAAAACACTTTGCATAAGAACACGGCTTTAAGGGTATTGTTTACAGGAGGTTTTCCCCTTTTGTTTGCCATATTGGTGAACATACTGTGCTGTGAATACTGCAATTTATGCTGTTACTTGTGAAGAACTGAATGTGAAATCTTGAACTGGCCTGTGCTGCCATCTGGTGGAGAACCCGTGTACTGATCTTCTGTCCTTCCACTGAAACAAAATGGAGGACTCTAGCGTTTTTGGAAATACTAATTGCGATTTATGATCACCTTATTAGGACACCTGATAAACCATACAAATTCTGGTTTATAATGTCAGTTCTATTTCATGAAAAAAGTTTTAAAAAGTATATTTTTACTGACCAGAGAGTAGGGTGTTTTAAATTCTTTAAGTTCTTTATGAAAATGTAACTATTTAGTTTACAACAACATGAATGAAATAAAACTAATGTTTCAACTCCACATAATATTAATCTTTGTGACCTATTAAAAATTCCAAAACACTTCCATTGAAGTCCGATTTAAAGCTACATTGTGTAACTCTTTTAGTTTATTCTTAGCTAAAAACACTTAGTTCTTTCAAAAATATATGTGCTGATTAATGTATATTTACTTCGTTCAAGTAATAAAGTATTCTCGTGAGTGTATAATATGCGATTGAAAATACATACGGGTAAGGGGTTCTAATGTCGGTCGCCATGTTGCCCCTCCATCTTGAAAGTACATTAGCCAAAGAGGGACATACCCCTTAATTCAAGCTTCACCTTTTGCGTTTACGTTTCAGTTAACACTCATGGACGAGGTCGAACTAGAAGCCATGTTAATCTTGGACTACATTAGCCACCGTAGGAGTTAAAATGAAATCGGAATTGAGAGGAACAAAAACTAATATTCACTGGATGGTCATATACCTTTTCACCGCTAGATGGGGTCAAAAATCACACAGTGTAGCTTTAAAGCCAAGGTGTTGACTGTAAAATGATACAGTTTATTGTTCTGTTTGCTGAGTCAAGATGGTGTTTATCGTCATGTTTATCTACTGCTGGTGTTAAACTGGGAAAAGTAGCACTCGTCGGGAATGTTGGTGTACAGATCCTGGAGATGTTCCTTCCTGCAAATGGAAAAAGTGTTTGCATTTGTTACAAAAATAAATAACTCAAGTAACAGAGAATTATTTTCTTTTAATTTTAGTATTTATTAATATTTTTAGAATTCATTAGATTTTAGTTTGAGTTTTAGTAATTTTGCTGTTAGGGTTAGTTACTCAATTTTTGGACCAGGATCAACAAAATATGTTGACCCAGGAACGAGTTAAAAACTCAAAATCAGGATGTGTGGGATGTTACATGTGCCCACAGAATTTTGTACGTGAACGTGACACATACTACATGGACGCATTGTGGCGCTTTGTTGAAATTTAGAAGGTTGCGCTATCAAGCCATTTGTCCCCACTGACTTCTGAAACCCATATCAGATGTACATTTTCAGCACTTTTGACACGTGTGCACAGTCTAGTGAGTTTTCGAGTCTGTTTAGGCCCTCAAAATGCCATTTATTTCAGAGAAGACGAAGAAGAATAAATGAAGCAATTCCAATAGTGCCCTCAGTGCTCAGGCCCTAAAATTCAGTCATTTCAAATGATTAAAGTTACTGTAAGATTATTATTTCAGTAGTGTGTGCTAATTAGTCAACCAAACCCATTGTATCTCACCGAGCATCATGGGTCTGGGCCAGCTGTGCGTTGGTGTTGTCCAAACTCCTGCGCAGCTCCTTATTAATGCGCGCTTGCTGTCTTTCCAGCAGCAGTGCAGCCCGGGCTGATGTCATGTTCTCGTGATGTTCCTGAAGCTCCTTCTCACGTTGCTTCATGGCAGCCCTCTGCACATATTTATTCGCTTTTTAACAAATTCATGATATTTCATGATGTTACTTACTAATAGAGTTCAAGCTGTTTGTGCTTTACCTTCCTATCTTCTGCTTGCTGCAGCTGGTACTGCGTGTACTGCTGGAGCTCTTCAGGACTCATTCCTTTGTAACAGTCCCTGCGCAAGCGGGACAGACCCAGCACACTTACTTTCTGTTCAGGGTTTTCCATCAGCAGGTCCCCGTTTAGCTGGTTCAGGATGTCCGTCTGGTTGTTCTCCTCTTCCTCGTGACACTCTTGTAGACGGCGATGTGTGATTTCTGCAGCCTGTGGTCAAGGAACAATGGAAAATCGAGTTCTTTTTGAATTATAAAGCATTTTTGTTTCTACTTCAGTCGTCAGTGACTCACCAGTGACCGGTTAAAGTCTTTGGTGGCGATGGCTGCAGCTCTCCTGTATTGTTCCTCCATCTTCTGCAGTTCAAGAGCTCGGTTATCCAAAGACAGTCTGCTTTGATCGTACTGATGCACTATACAGTTTGTAAAAAGAGAAAGCATTGATAGTTGGGCTGGGGGAAATAATATCGATTAATAATGGCTGTTTACATTTAAGTTTATTTGTTTTTACATGTTAAAATTACACGTTAAGATTAATCTTGATTATTGCATCCAAAACAAAACTTTGTGTTAACATAATATATATGTGTGTACTGTGTATAACTATTTTGTATATATAAACACACACACGCACACGCACATGTATGTATTTAATTAAAAATGTGTAATTTATATATGAAATAAATAAATATATATATTGTATTTACATGCAGATATTTCTTAAATATACACATGATTATACACAGTACACACATATATTATGTAAACACAAACTTTTATTTTGGATGCAATTAATCAAGATTAATCGTTGCACAGCCCTTAAAAATAAACAATTATTTTTATATTTGTATTTTAATTTTTATTTCAATTTACAAATATTATTTCAAATAAACGGTCATCGTGTTGCTTGCTTCTACATTCATTTTGGGGTTTTAAAGTATTACAAAACTGTTTTTCTGTTAGGCCTATTTGCGGAAAAAACCCCCCCAAAAAAACTGTGCAACAAATCAGTTTTAATCAATTCACTGCCATAATGTACAGTTTCAGAAAGAATCAAGCAAACATTCAAGACTGGGACCAAAAGCCATTGAAAATTGGTAGGGCTCAGATATAAGGAGCTGCCATTCAGCAAGTGAACGTACTTTCTTGTTTTAGCTGTTGTTTCGCTCGCTCTAGTTCTTCTTGCTGTTGAAGGGTCCATGCTCTGAGCTGCTCCTGCTGCTTCCTCAGCCTGTCCTTCTGGCTCAGATCTTCTCCAGTCAGGCCCGGGAGAATCCGTACACCTTCCTGCTTCTTCAGCAGCTCTGGATCGTTCAGATCAAACTCACGTCTGCTGGTTGTTTGTTGGAATTGTTCCCTAAATTGCACGATGGCTTCATTCAGCAGGCGCTCATCTTTCTTCTGCCGCTGCTCCAGGACACAGGCTACACGATCACTGCACAGCAGGTCATCAGCTGAAAACACACAAGAGAAGTTGTTTCGGAGTCAGCCTCAATGTAATAGTGAGTTATGTTATTCAAGTTATCCAAAAACGTTTTTTGTGGAAGAAAAACGTCATTCCACACACACACACTCACTCATGTTGGATGAGGACTTTCCATAGACATAATGATTTTTATACTGTACAAACACTGACCCTCACCCTAAACCTACCCATCATCACACACACACACACAGTCCCAAATAGTGCCCAAAAATATCAGCATTTTAATTGGACTTTTTTCCCCCTTTGTTTTTCTTTCCCAGACGAGACAGTTAATACCATCTGTATTTTTTTTTTTATTATTTTAAAACAGAAATTAAAAATGGTAATTGTAATAAATTGCTGGTTTTGGTGTTTACTCACCATAGACTTGAAGTTCGTTTGCTTCTCGTTGGTCTCTCTCTCTTCGTTCTTTAACTTGATGGTCGAGAGCATCATAGTCAAGCTGTCCAAGATAGAAATCAACAAAACGAATTCGCAAAATGCTATTCATACTTACTCCAATCGTAAACATACAGCAAACATACTTACTCCAATCGTGCGGACTTTGTCATTAAAGATCCTCTCTCGGCGTTGCAGTTCCCTAGTTCTCTTTCTGTCAAGTTGAACAGCTGCGATTCGGTCTGACAGAAGCTCAACTTGATCCATTGAAAGTTATATCACCACTATAGATCGATATAGAGAGTAATACAATGAAATGTTGCAATCGATCAACTGGTTGTCATGAACGAGGGAAACCCACAAACAAACACGTTGCTAAGGAGTGGAAGTGCCAAGGCTCTCCGTTAGACGGGCTCTGGTACAGCCCACTTGCGGCTAAAGCTCCACCCACTTGCTGCTAACCCACCCATTTGTAGCTGGCTCAGTCCCGCCCATCCGTAAAAATCCAAGTGGACCTCAAGGTTGAGAAAAAAGCGTCAATGCAAGTGAATGAGAGAAAATAATTATTTTGTGATTCCGTTTGAATTGTGCCATGAATGTGAGCATATGCTGAATGTGAATTTTTTGCGAAGTGAAGTGCATGAAGTCAAAACCTGGTTAAAATGGTGTAAAACACTGATCGATTACTGTACCAAAAAACATTTTATTTTACACGTTCATTAAAGTTTTACCAAATGAAACATTTTATTTGTTATCCTAAAGGAATTATATAATAAAGGAATATCTATAATAATCATTTGAAAACAATCCTAAAGGATATTAGTAGGAATTTTGTTCAGGATTAAAGCATGGAACAAAAAGACTAATGTACGGTCAGACAATCTTACTGATTCCAAGAGACTAATAATAATATCTATTTGTGTGTATAGAGATAGATAGATATGAAACGTCATGCTCACTGATCTCCACTAGATGGCAGCACTATCATCAGTTCAGTTTCAAGTCTGAATAAACTTAAATTAGTTCATACTTTCATTAGTAGAAAGAGCAGAGCATTTAAACTAAATTAATTCATTTTTGATTTTTAATATTGTCTCTTTTTTTAACCAATTTTCCAGTAGCCAGAAAACAAAAAGCAGTCAAATGAAAAGTTACTTTAATAAGTTAATGTGTGCATAAAAAACAAGCAATGGATTTCCTTTATATGTTTTAAATATAATTGTTTTATTAAATTCAGCTTCTTTTTTTAACCCATTATTAGTTTATTTGCCTACATACGATATTGTTTACATAGAATCTATAGTTATTAACAGTCAATATTAATTCCTCATATAAAAAAATCTTAATTTGTCACATAAATGTTCAACTGGTAGCCTACAGCAGTTTCATTTACTAAACCTCACCCCCTAAACCTCAGGATGTAAAGATACACAATTCAAAACTTCTGCTTTGACCCTGTTACCTACTTTTTTAGTACTGCAATTCCATAAACCTTTTCTCACTATAAATTCTCCTGAATCAGTTGGCCTATTTTTTTTGAGCTGTAACCTCCGGACATTGGATTGTTGTGCTTTTTTTTCTTTTTTTCTTTGTAAAATACTGTAAAAAAAAAAGAAAAAAAAGAAAGAAAATTATATATATATATATATATATATATAACATTTAAATTTTTGTTGCACACAAACACTGGTGTTATATTGTAATAGTTTTATCAGTGTTTGAGGGAACCATTTAATTAAATTTTTTAATTGATGACAAAATGTGATTATGAAATATATATATATATATATATATATATAAATAAAGGTACACAGGTACAAAGAGACCGTTCTCTCCGAGTTCAGAAAGATCTAACAAAAGTCTGTTCTTTGTAATATAACACAGTTATTATATTGTAATAGTTTTATCAGTGTTTGAGGAAACCATTTAATGACATTTTTTATTGATCAAAACATGTCACCTATCAGGTCCAACCAGGGGTTAAACTGGCAGTTAATTTAAACTTGTTACAGGGTGTGAGACACACACACACACACACACACACACACACTTGCTTTGAAGTTTGTTCATTTATTCCTTTTACAATGTTACCTTTTAAAAGTCTTTAATGACATGTTGTATTGTCCATTTTTGTCCTGTGCATGTCTGCAAAATGAGATGATAGGAATCCTGTCCATGTCCGATCTCGAGACAACGGTTTGTGTTTCGATTTCTTATTGCACTTCCCTAAATTTAAAACCGAAAATTAAGTTAATTAAAAAAATAAAAATTAGTTAAGTTTTACTGATGATTCTTCAATTATATACATAGAAAACACAGAATAACCCCACACTTCAAAATGTTAGTTTTTTTTGCAATCACAAGGACACATTCCTCAATACTTAGGTCACATTTTCACAGCTCTTCAGTGATCAGAACAGCAGTCTATGTGGGCTAAACTGTGGATCATTTATCATTGCTTTGGCACAAAATGCATCCAAAGACAACATCTTTCAATTTACATGAATTTTTTTTTTCCTCACATACATATTAACACCACCACAACTTTATGTACTAGAACGGCCAATTTGCACGTTAACATAGACTTTAAAAGACATAAATCTGCACCATTTCTACAGTAATACGATATTGAAATATACACTCACCTAAAGGATTATTAGGAACACCATACTAATACTGAGTTTGACCCCCTAGCCTTCAGAACTGCCTTAATTCTACATGGCATTGATTGAACTCTTCGGTGCTGTAAGCATTCTTTAGAAATGTTGGCCCATATTGATAGGATAGCATCTTGCAGTTGATGGAGATTTGTGGGATGCACATCCAGGGCACGAAGCTCCCGTTCCACCACATCCCAAAGATGCTCTATTGGGTTGAGATCTGGTGACTGTGGGGCCATTTTAGTGCAGTGAACTCATCGTCATGTTCAAGAAACCAATTTGAAATGATTCGAGCTTTGTGACATGGTGCATTATCCTGCTGGACGTAGCCATCAGAGAATGGGTACATGGTGGCCATAAAGGGATGGACATGGTCAGAAACAATGCTCAGGTAGGCTGTGGTATTTAAACGATGCCCAATTGGCACTAAGGGGCCTAAAGTGTGCCAAGAAAACATCCCCCACCCCATTACACCACCACCACCAGCCTGCACAGTGGTAACAAGGCATGATGGATCCATGTTCTCATTCTGTTTATGCCAAATTCTGACTCTAACATCTGAATGTCTCAACAGAAATGGAGACTCATCAGACCAGGCAACATTTTTCCAGTCTTCAACTGTCCAATTTTGAGCAAATTGTAGACCCTTTTTCCTATTTGTAGTGGAGATGAGTGGTACCCGGCGGGGTCTTCTGCTGTTGTAGCCCATCCGCCTCAAGGTTGTGCGTGTTGTGGCTTCACAAATGCTTTGCTGCATACCTCGGTTGTAACGAGTGGTTATTTCAGTCAAAGTTGCTTTTCTATCAGCTTGAATCAGTCGGCCCATTCTCCTCTGACCTCTAGCATCAACAAGGCATTTTCGCCCACAGGACTGCCGCATAGTGGATGTTTTTCCCTTTTCACACCATTCTTTGTAAACCCTAGAAATGGTTGTTTGTGAAAATCCCAGTAACTGAGCAAATCGTGAAATACTCAGACCGGCCCGTCTGGCACCAACAACCATGCCACGCTCAAAATTGCCTAAATCCCCTTTCTTTCCCATTCTGACATTCAGTTTGGAGTTCAGGAGATTGTCTTGACCAGGACCACACCCCTAAATGCATTGAAGCAACTGCCATATGATTGGTTGATTAGATAATTGCATTAATGAGAAATTGAACAGGTGTTCCTAATAATCCTTATTAGGTGAGTGTATTCGGAATAAAAAAAAAATCAAATACTATCAATGGGGAAAAAATGTTTGTGCTGTAATGCAAACATTGGCCATCTAACATGCAGCAGTGAATTATAAGCAGTAGAGAGTGTCATTCTTGTTTTGTATGGATCATACCTGAGTGAAGTCCCAGTATATACTCAGTTCTTTCTCCTTGGCTTGTTTACAGTCATGTAACACCGGTGTTCTTCCATTACCGGGATCCGTTAGACAACGGTTGGAGTTATATGTGTGAGATTTGATTCCTCCAATGTATATCTCTCCATTACTGTTGTAGGAACAACGCTGTAAGAGATGTTGAAATGAAGAGTGCATTTTGGGCGTAGCTATTCACAGAAAAGGTTTACACTTACATACCTGAGAATCATAGTAATGACACTCATACAGAATAGGTACACTTCCAGGAACAGGTCCTTCATCAACGCAGTAGCCTTCATAAAGATCATTCTTCAACTGTCATGAAAATAAACAGCAGCAGTTTTGGAAAAAACAACTTATAAACTTAATTCATTTATTTATATCTGGAAGACTTTGAGCAACTTACCCCGCCATAACCCTTAATGTCTTTCCATCTGTCTAGTAGAGGATATACGTTTTCCAGATACCATTTAAAGGGCTTACATTTGAGTTTCTCTCGTAACTGTTTTCTTTCAGTCACATCACCAATATCAATCCCATGATCCTAGAGGAAAAACCAAATGAATAGTTGAATGTTCTAAACAAGACTGTTAATATTCAACTTATCTTGAACTGACCTTGAAACAATGTTAACTATTACTGTTACCTTTAGAGGGATATTCCAGGCAATATTCACATATGATTTATATTCATCCATCCAGATTTCAGCCACTCTCAGAGCATTTCGAATCATGGGTTTGCTGAGATCCGGTGAATAAGGCTTATGTGCTCTTTCAAGGTGAGCAATCTTTGAACATGGCACCACTTCAACACTCCCGCCACAGAGCCAGACCTGATTTATTAATTAAATATCAGATATAGATTATATTCAAGCACTTTTTTTTTACTTAATAAACTTTTTTTTACACTTAACTTCTTTATATGCATTTTTTGGTGCCACAATGTGCAGTAATAACTTACACGTATTGCCAGTTCAACATTTTCACCTCCATAAATTGTCATTCCTTCATCCAAAACTCCAATTTCTCCCAGGAATTGACGATCAGCGACAAGGATACCCATGATTGAGGGACTCCTAACAATGCAGAAAAAGTAACTGACTATTTGTTCTACTTCAATCAAAATTGGGTCACATGAATTAAATCAATTTGAATTATATTAATGAATACATTTTTAAAATAAATAAATGAATAAATACATTTCATGGGGACCTTAACTATGTTGACATGTCCTTGGATTATTGAATGGGAGTAAAAATGGTCATTTTCATCTTTTTAAAATGTAAAACTCTTTCCCTGCCAGAGTTTTTGAAAAATGTTTTCCGTTCTGAAGTTCTGCTTCTTCACATGTGTGTTGATCGGAAGATTCAGTACTCATACTAAGTTGTGTAACAGCACCTCTATAACAGTGAAAAACACGGAAAGGCGTAGATTTCTATCAATGGCGTGGAAAGAGTTAAAAACAACAGAATTTTTTCGTGCAGTCATCTGTTGCCGAAATTCCATGCGTAGTGGAGGAGGACAGTCTGTCAGACTCCGATTTTAAATGACAAAGGGCTGTGCAACGATTATTTGCGATTAATCACATCCAAAATAAAAGTTTGTGTTTACATGATATATATGTGTGTGTATACATTACACATCGTGTGTATATTTTTTTTTTTATATATACATTGGATATTATTATTTTTATTGTTTTATTATTTTTGTTATTTTGGATGCGATTAATCGTTTCACAGCCCTAAAAA